AGCAATTATTATTATTATTATTATTATTATTATTATTATTACTACTGTTTCACTGGGAGGACATGTCTTACCTCTACAGCACTTTGCAGTACTTCCATTTCTCCACCAGGAGGCACTGTGGAAAGTTTACTCAGCTCCTCCACTGCAGGGCACAGAGCATCCAGCTGTGGAGAAGAAAGCGGTTAGAGCAGAAGTCACAACTCCAGTCTTTTCATGCCAGAATCCAACTGGTTTTGTAGGCCTTTTCAAATCATCAGCAGCTGAAAAGTGTTAAATTTGCTGAGTTAAGCCAGGGGTTCCCAACCTTTTTTGTCAGCTGAACCCCTTCAACCTAAATTATTTGCCTCAAGTACTCTCTTGAGATTTTAACTAAATCAAACCTTTCAATAAATGTAGTGCTAAATTAGCTAATTCTGTCATTGATTTCTGTTGTTGATATAAAGTAATGGTAAAGTGTTACATTTGATTGTTTTAATGTAATATATTTTACTTTCAAAAATATATATATATTTTTCAAATTGAATTTTATTTGACTGACATTTCCATCACAATCTCACAAACCCCCTGCAGTACCATCTCGAACCCCTAGGGGTTCGCGAGCCCCTGGTTGGGAACCCCTGAGTTAAGCTATTGACCTTCTTAATTAGCTAACCATCTCAAACCTTCAGAGACTGAAGCCCTCTAGGACTGGAGTTGTGCAACACTGGGTTAGTGCAATGATAAAGTACAGATGGATTACACTAACTCTCACCACTTTTAATACAAAGGAACAACGAAGGCTTAAATGACATATACTGTATAGCAGGGCTAGGACTAAAACTCAGATGGATTTGTACACTAACGAAGAGACACTATATAAAGGCACAAATACTGCATTAAACATTATGTGTGACATGTAGACTAAGAAGATGAAGCCGTTTTGACTTCTGATTCCTAAAGCAACATTAGAATTACAGTAGGAGCAGAAATAAACTGACTGATAATTTAGGTGTCAATTTACAGCATAAGCCTGACTAGGTCCTAAGGAAGCAATCTAGCACGCTCAGTGCTCTTACTGTGCCCTTAGGCTCCAACTGAAACTGAACTGAAAACTGAAAACCTGCTTTTTTCTTTCGGTCTTCCCACCTGGAGAGAGAGCTACATCCAATTTGTTGCTCCAGAGTACTTACCATCGTCCGGTCACCCTGCTCTGCTCCGCCATACCTGCACAAACACAGGCTGCAGTTACACACTTCCACCACAAGGAGAGGTTGTGTACACACATACTGTACCACAGAACAAATATTAGTGAATGAATGGTTTAAAGATTCCTGCAATATGGGGTCTGACAGACTGAAATAGCTGTTATAACAGAGATACTAAACTAGTAACAATTGTCTAACAATTTCTAGATGGATGAAAATTCAGATACTATCTAAATAAAATGAAAATAGTATTCACAACCCTGAGATATGCCATTGTGCCCTAAAGTGCAGTGCTAACAAATCTAGATAAATCTAAATCTAAATAAATACCTCAATAATCTAAATAAATATATCTAAATAACTAACCAGTTATTTCCTCTGGAATTTCACTTTTGAATGATGTAAAATAATTTATTTTTTTATGTTGAGTTTTTGTAGGATATGTTTCCAAAATATCCCTTGTAGGTGATGGTTGTTTTGCTGGACTCTTGTGTTGGACACTAACACAAAACACATTTCCTCTAAGCAATAATAATAATAATACAGTTTGGATTTGAAGACTGAAATGAAATATGAAAGTATTTTGTTGAAAATCATTCTGAAGCATCTGAACCCCCTGCTTCTGCACGCTGCAGTAGCATTCTGGCAGTTTCTGGGCCACAACCCTACTAAAGGCAATTTGGTCTGACCTCTTCATGGCCTCCATCCCAGCATGCACTGCATCAGCCCAGGCACTGAGCTCTGTTTTGCCTTTGAGGTGGGGAGCAGCGGCTGTCAGGAAGAGACTGTAGAGCTGAGAAACAAATCAAGAGTGTGTTTTTCAGTCTACAGACAACAGAAACACATACAGTAGAGGTACAACATCCCTATCACAGACTGAAGAGGCCAGAAATACTGTTCACCCAGAGGCAAAGTGCTGCTGTCATGGTCTGTGGAGCTGACAGACATAAGGACATTACCAGTATTTCAGGACTAACCAAACCCATAGAGAGTTAGAAGATACACTAACAGATCAAAACTAAAGTGACTGAGGCAGATCATTATTAATGATACACAGCTCCAGGTCAAGACTGTTCCAGATCACCAGCCTACTGGGATTCCCACTGTACTTCCAGTGTCCTCAATGCCACTGATTCTCCCCTTGGGACATGAGATGACACCCACCAGAAACATCACGGTTAAACTCACCGCCCCTGAGGATCCGCCCATGTGCTCCTGGACCAATCCAGCAAGAGAAGACAGCAGCTGCCCAGGACAGTCTGGCGTCACATGTCCCTGGAGCCACTCTTGGATGGCTGTGAAGAGTCCAACTCATTACAAGAGTCAAGCAGCAGGATAACAGTGGGTAGGATCTGATACTTTCAATGTAGGAATGAGCTGCCTATGTGCGCAAGATATTCCCCCTGCTCACCCATAACTATGTTACACAGAAGTGGAGATGGCATTGCATTTAAATGACACCTTCTTTATTAAGTATATCAAACTAAGACATTGGTATTTTCTTTTAAAAAATCATAAAATAAAAGTGACAGGAGATAATTTCTGACTACTAAAGTACTGTCTGTACCTTAATCTGGGAGTGACCCCATCATCACTGAAACACAACTGAAATTTCCCCTTAAATGATATTGAAGCTGCATTGAATCTGATCTCAATGTTGTATTATAACTCAACATACTCTAAAAGCACTGTGAAGTTCTTTTTTTTATTTACTCATACTGTTGATTGTTAATGGTTTTCAGTTCTGTTTACCTGCTCAGGGAAACTAATTAGCTACTCCTTTCATTAATCACTAATACTGATTGGTTGCTCTTGCAATGAACCTATGCTCAGACAGCTTCTGGAAATGATGGTGTTAGATTATGTATTAGGAGTTAAGTAGACTGGGCAAGATTCAATTTAAAACTATATGCTTTTAAATGTCATTTCTAAATACATATTTTCACAATTAAATGCCTACAATTGATTAACATGGATAAAACCGCTTTTAGTTTACATTATCTGTCCTTTTACCTAAATAAAAAAAAACAGATCTCTAGAACTTTAACTTTTTCAAGTCAATGTGGTGAAGCAATAAAATTGTAAACAGAATATTAGAATATACAGTTAAAAGTGTAGAATTTAAATCAAGTGATGTTAAAATTTGTACAATGCACTAATAAGTAATGATTTAGAGTATTATGTACTATAGTCACTACATAATACAACAACAAAAAAATATGATTGATCAGGAATCAGTCCAGAGATGAGTAATTATACAGTACATTTCGGGGCTTAAGGGAACATCCAATCACATAGTGTGTTAAAATACACTAAAATATATTAAAATACTAAGTAATAATAATTATAATAATTGCTTACACTTATATAGCACTTTTCTAGACACTCCACTCAAAGCGCTTTACAGGTACTGGGGACTCCCCTCCACCACCACCAATGTGCAGCCCCACCTGGATGATGCGACAACAGCCATAGTGCACCAGAACGCTCACCACACATCAGCTATCAGTGGGGAGGAGAGCAGAGTAATGAAGCCAATTCATAGACGGGGATTATTAGGTGGCCATGATTAGTAAGGGCCAATGGGAAATTTGCCCAGGACGCCGGGGTTACACCCCTACCCTTTGTACTGGGTATATACAATATCAAGTATGTCCTGCACTCTCAGGTCATTATCTCTACACTGGGTCTGTGACTCTGTGTATACAGATTCCCAAGTGTCTTCTGATATAATTCCACATAAACAATTTTAGTACTTCAGAGTGAAGGAATTTAAGGTCACTATACACATGGTTCAAGAGCTGGTCGAAGAGCAGAAAAACTTGAGAAATAACAAGAGAAATCTCAAAATTAAATTTCTATCACTGATCCAAAGCAATTAGCAACCAGTCAGTACTCACCCTGTGCAGCAAGGGCATGAGTGTTCCCACAATCACCATCTCCTGCTGCGCGGTCCAGCTCATTGAGCACCTCCTGCTGGGCGAGGAGAGAGGTACACACCCCCTGCAGCACCCGCCGCAGCACAGCAGAGCGCGGGCCTGCAGAGCACACACAGATTGGCCTCAACACTGGATTCCTTCTGTGTGCTCACTCTGTTTCTTCTGTGTGCTATATCGCGCTGTGCCGAGCCCTCTATGTGCAGACCTGTGGTTCCTCCCTGTGTTGGGCTCTATTCTCAGTGTCATACCTTGGGTGGTATTCTCTGGCTCTGCTGTGTGTTCCTGTGTTGGTCCAATGGTGCGGTTCCGTCCACTTAGGGTAACATTGCTCACCTTGGGCCAGGCAGGGGCGGTGGTATCAGCATCTAGAAAGAGAGAAGGAGGGAGAAACGAAAGATGTTTCTTTGGCAATTTTTGTTATAAAATCACATACAGTAATAAGCATGCCATAAACACTTACAATTTCAAATCTGGCAGTAAATAGTTTTAATACTGTAAAAGCAGATTACAGTGAATTGTTACTTGTAAAGCACATTGTATTAATGAGACTCACCAAACAGCCTGAGTATGTCCTGGTTGGCCAGCATCAGAGTGAGAGACACCCCTGCCATCTCTAATGATGTCATAAACGTGCCTGACATCACCCTGGCAATGCATACACCCCGCTCCTCTGGAAAATCACAACAGGAAGGAGTCACACTTGGGTGAGCTGGCCACTGAGCCCTGCTCTCTGTGCCTGGGGCCCTGTGCCCTAAATGCGTCCTCCTTTTGTCTCTTCATTTGAAAAAGAAGTCAGGAGCGATGGAAGACTTGATCTAAAGACTTCGGAAATTAATGGAAGAGCAGGACCAAATCAGGATTTTACCAAGGCATCTCCTGTACAAAAGTGAAAGATACAGATTTAAAGGAATGGGAGAGTTTAAGAGAAGTAGAGTGTAACAGGGGAGATGTCATGTTTAAAGATGTTCTGCTTGAAGCATAGATAGATTCATCTAAAAAAGAGTAAAGCCTAGAAATTAGTGACACAAGAGGTCCAATATATGGAGAATAATATCACTTTATGAAATGACTGGAAAAGAACAGGATGCAGTTAAAGAAAAGGAGAACAATGAACTACAAGCACAAATACAAATTTACTAAAAAAGGCCAAGAAGGAAATTGAAAGGAATATGATAATGGAGGCTAAAACAATGCAAGATTTTTCAGTATCACAGCAGCAGAATCAAAAAAGACGAAGTGAAGTGTCTCAGAGATATAAATAGAAAGCTTTCAAATGATGAAAGGGAAATGGCTGATGTGTTCAATGAAATTCACTCAGGCATTTACTAAGGAACAAACTGACAAGATGCCCCAGTCTGAGTAAAGACAATGGTCCTTATTAAACAGTACTACAATAAAAAAACAGATTAGCAAATATTCAGGCCTGAAGGTACGCTACCAACTGTACTTAAGGAGAAAATATATATTGTTTATTGGCCATTGACAAATCTCTTTCTGCAGACTAGTAGTTGTACCCAGCTACTGGAAAATTGCTAATGCTAATGCCCAACAAAACTGAACAAAATAATTCTATTACAAATAAGGATATGGAGATGACAATTAAAACTAAACTGGAGGACTGTCTAAACAGAATTAAGATCCTAGAGTACAGTTAAGTCAGAAAAGATTGATTACTTTTAGAAATCTTTTGATAAAATTCCTGATAAATGTTTAGCAGGCATTCAAAGTAATCCATGTTTTTAGATCAAGAAGTGGTAAAAAATGAATGGAAAAAAATAAATGGTTACTTGAAAAGAGAATACAGAATTGGGAGAATTCACAAATTCAGGTAACAATCCTGAAGTTCTTCATCATATAAAGATATAAAGGAGGACTTAGGTCCACCAATCTTCCTAATTTATATAATTTCTATTTTGATTACAAAATAGAAAAGGAGTCAAGCTTTTCACAAATGATGCCAAAATAAAATGATAAGCAAACACTGTCAATACTGCAAAGAAATGTCTAAATCGTTTTATCATCTGAAAACACCTAGCTGATGAAATCTAATGTATACAAGTGTAGAGCATCACATACAGGTAAAAGAAACATTATACGGTAAACATACAATAGGATGAAAAACACTGAGTTTGAAGAGGCAGTTTAGGAGTTTATGTTGTGACAGTATTTGGATCTTCTACACAGTGAGAGGAAGTAATCAAAAACAGAAACAATGCATAAAACAATGGATATTATTTTAAATGCCTATAATGTAGTAGTAAGGCCTCTTTCAGAATACTGAGTACAATTCTGGTCACATTGAGTGATTATCACATGAATAATAATGCTACTCTGGAATCAGAACAGAGAAGAGAAACTAGATACATTCTGGGGCTTAAAGGAATGTCCTGCACTGACAGGCTGATGGGCTGCATGACTTGAAACTGAAACTCTTTTTTAGTCTAAACAGAGAAGACTACAAGGGGACCTACAGTTATATAAGTATTCAAAACACTCAAAGGCTTAGGCTTCTTCATTCCAGTAAACACAAACCAGAGGGCACAAGTGGGGAAGTACTTTTAAAATTGAAAACCGGAGGTTGCAGTATAAGCTAACCACTAGTGTGGTTGAAAGTGATAACCGGGTTTGTCTCAAGAAATGGCTGAATGAGATCCTTGGATCAATTATGTACTCGAAAGCAAACGGCCTCCTCATACTGTTCTTGTGTTGTATTATGAGCAGTGCCTATCCTTTATATGGAGATCGAGGACAAATGCTAACAACCATGGGATGAGGTGAGGGGGCCTTGATGTTGTTCTCTAAAGACTGAGGTTGGCTGTAAAGCTTGGGTGGGAAGTTGGGGGAAGCCTGCAACTGAGGGAGAGATGGACAGTACAGAGGCTGGGTCGAAACATCAGTGGTGCTGTGGGCAGAGGGAGAGGGGGCTAGAGTGGACAGCTGCGAAGAAACTGAGCAAGAATGAGAGAGAATTGCAGAACAGAGGTAGAGGACAATTACTGTCTCACCTAGGTAGCGGATTGCTGAGCCTTTGACAATGGCCAGCTCCAGACAGGACAGAGAACCCAGGTTATTGACAACCAGCACTACAGTGTCCCCTGAAAGAATATGACAGAACAGTGAGCACCACACCGTCCACAGGAATAAAAAAAAAAAACAGGACAATGACACCCTGAAACACAGGAATTCAAAGATGACTACACAAGCAACACCACAGTAAGTTAGGAACAGTAGGCGCATTGTGTGTCTAGAAAGTTCAGCACTGAACTTACCTGCTTTCAGAGGGAGATGTGATTGGCTGGAGGGGTCGGTCATGTGATCTATCATGAATTTCACTACCTCATCCGCAGTGCCCACCTATCAAGACACACACCAAATGTCTGGTGAAACTTGTGAGTACAGCATATATGACAGAGCGGGAGAAATGAGCAAAAGATTCACAGAATCCTGGGTCCAGTTAAAAACCTAGGAATTACTGCAAATGAGACGACACCATCTGGCCCATACAACTCCTCTGGTCTTTCAGTAGCTTATTAATCCAAGGTTGCCATCTAGCAATTGACTAGATTTGAGACTCCCAGATCTGGCATCCTGTCCTCTGTGTCTTGTTTTTATCCCACTGTTACTGAACTGAATCAGAAGGTAATGATTCATCTCTGTAACTGTTGAAGACTGTTGATGTCTTGTGGGTGTTGTTATTATTATTATTATTAAATGCTATGGAAAAGAGATTAATGGAATTTTGAAAAATAAAGCACCTGACCTTGGACCTCTTGATGCCAGGCTCCCCGTGGATTCCTGTATGAAGCACAGAGAAAGGAACAGAGAGTGAGACAGTATTGTAAACACAATCAATACTCTTGTCTATCAGGTATTTGGTATAACTCATTTACTGTAGACTTGTGAGCTGCAGTGTTAGTTTCTGGTGTGTTGTGCAGTTAAGACAATCAGTGGTGTGAATATTAATGCAGACCTGAATTTTCTCAAACTTCCTGCTGTTCTAGAAAAAGATCTTCTCATTCGCTCTTACTTAGTAATATTCCTGCATTTTGTACACTACATTTTGAACACCTCATCCAAATCCCCTCCAAAACTTTTACTTAAATTGAAAAAATCAAATTACTCCAATCTGTACACATAAATAATCTCCGTTAGCCCTGGAATGAGCACTGCTGCTCTGATCCAAACTTTCTCTAAAGTTACTCTATTGCTTTAGAATGAGGAGGCTAGAACTGTTTGCAGTATTCCAGATGTGATTAAACTAATAATTCTACAGTTCAGCAAATCTCTCTAGACCTGTATTCTACACTCTTCACTATGTATGCAAGTGTCAAAGTACCCCCTGACTCACCCAGTCCCAGTTCCATCTCCCCTGGCGGTAACTCAAAGTTTGGGCAAGAACCAGGAACACTGCAGGGAGACAGGCTGACCCCCAAAGTGCCTAAAACAAAGAGAGAGGATCACTGCAGGAACAAATACAGGCAGGCATTAGCTATGATCAGAAGCTATATATTAACTTTATCTATATCCATGGTACAGATACAGTATAAAATATTACCACCTTGTAACTGGAGCTGAACAAACTTGGCCTTGGTTAGTGCTGGAGTGGGAGAACCCAAACAAAAGCCAGGCTGCTACAGTAGAATTTCTAAATCAACAGCTCTATATAACCTTAATATGTTTAGAATCCATATAAATTTAATTCTCCATATAAAGAAACTATCATAACATAACAGACCTGGATGACTGCTCATAACTACCCAGTTCCACTAATTATAGGGGGGGGGCACTAATTATTGCCATTAGTGGCCAATTCAACTGCTTTTTCCTTTTTTTTAGATGATGGTGACTTGATGGTGATGGTAAACAGACCTCTACAACCTTCTGTACTCTTCCTGCTGAACTCTTTTTAATATTTTCTGAAAAATAGCATTTTTGTTTGGGTAGATTGTGTTGCTAAGGGGAAAGCTGCTCAGCATGGGCAACCTCAAAGTCCCTTCCCTGTCACTGGGCCCTTTCCCATGTGGAAGTGTACAGTCTCCACTGCGCAGGTCCGTAGGGCTGAGGAGTGGGCATTCGTCCGAGACAGGAGTGCAGCAGCAGTTGACAGCGCCCCTGTGCCTAAATGCTGAGTGTTCTGTTCTCTATTGCTGGGGAGGGAGGGAGTTACCATATGGATAACAGAATAGGAA